GAATTCAAATTGGTTGGTTGAAGTAGAGGAATGCTTCGGGCGTTTTGTGTGATAGAAAAGCACCGCTTAAACTGAAAGGAAAATTTTATAAGACGGTGGTGAGACCTGCAATGCTCTATGGCACTGTATGCTGGCCTTTAAAAGAGAAGCACGATAATAATTTAAGTGTTGCCGAGATGAGAATGATTAGATGGATGAGTGGCTTTATACTTAGAGACAAAATGCGAAATGAATATATTTGTGATAGGGTTGGTGTAGCTCCTGTGACGGACAAAATTAGAGAAAGTCGTCTTAGATTGTTTGATCACATTAAACGTCGACCATCTGATGATCCGATTAGGAGAGTGGATGTTTTAGATTCGACTTGTGTTAAGAAAGACAGAGGTAGACCTAGGAAGACTTGGGCTTATTGTATTAAAAATGAACTTAATTTACTAGAACTAAATGAAAATATGACACTTAATAGGACACAGTGGAGAAAAAAGATCCATGTAGCCAACCCCACGTAGTGGGATTAAGGCTTTGTTGTTGTTGTTGTTGTTGTTGTATTCAAGAAATTAGATGGGTTGAAGAAAAGACTAAGGAGATTAATAACTTCAGTTTTAAACTTTGGTATTCAGTAAGAGTAGCACTAGAAATAGTGTATGTAATTATAGATAAGTGTTTAAAAAATAATGTTAAAAAAATTAATAGAATTGGAGATAGAATTTTAGCCCTTAAGATTATTGCTGATACTAAAATTTTTAATATTATAAGTGTTTATGCTCCTCAAAAGGTTTAGATATAGGTTCTAAAGAAAAATTGTTGAATGACCTAGAAGACTTAATATAAATGATATCTCTTGAAAAAAGAATTTTTATTGGAGAAGATTAAATAGAAATATCGGTTGAGTGGTAGAAGATTATAGAAATATTCATAGTGTCAACGGTTTTGGAGTGAGTAATGAAGAAGGTAGAAATATATTATATTTTTCTTTAGCATATAATTTTGTTATTGCTAATACTTTATCCAAGAAAAGAGATAAACAAATTATTACTTATAAGAATGAATCTAATAAAACACAAATTGATTATTTTCTTATGAGAAGAAGAGATCGTCGAGAATATAAAAATTGTAAGGTTATTCGAAGTGAGGATTTAAGTACTCAACATCGATTATTAGTTATATATTTTAAGATTAAGAGTTGTAAAATATATAATATTATGAGTCATTGTCGTAGAATTAAATATGGGCACCTAAAAGACACAAATAAAATTAATTTTATGAGTGAACTTCAAATTTTCAAGATTTGGGATGTTCATGAAAAAATAAATTCTATGTAGGTTAAAAAGTAACAAACACTATTAAACAAGTGGTAAAAGATATACTTGGAGAATCAAAAGAAAAAGCTTCCATCAATAAAATTAATTTGTGGTGGAGTAATAATGTGCAAGAAAAATAAAATATAAAAAGATATGTTATAAAAATTGGTTTAAATGAAAAAACTTAGAGAAATGGGAAAAATATCAAATAGCCAATAAAAAGACTAAGAGAACAATCTGTGATCCTAAAAAATATAATTTTAGTGGTCTTTATAATAGATTAGATATTAAAGATGGTGAAAATATATATGTATAAAACTAATCAAACAAGGAGAAAAGAAAAATAAAGATTTAACTCGAGTAAAGTGAATTAAAGATTAAAATCAAAAAGAGTTTTTCTCATAAAAAGATATTCTACGTAGACGGGTTAGTGATTTTAATAAATTTTTTAATGAAGTTTCTGACAAAAAAATCGACCGTAGTGATCTTAACATCGTTAATAATAATAAAATATTTTTTTTCCCGTCGCATTAGTGAAAAAGAAGTTAAAGAGGCTTTAAAGAAAACCAAAAGTGGAAAGTTTGTGCGACCTGATGAAATCCCAATTGAAGTGTGGAAATATATAAGAAATTTGGGAGTTTCTTGGCTTACCAAACTCTTTAACATTATTTGAAAAGCCAAAATGATGTCTGGGGAGTGGAGGAAGCGTATTTTGGTCCCCATTTTTAAGAATAAAATGGATGCACAAGAGTGTGCAAATTATAGAGGAATTAAGTTGATGTGTCATACTTTAAAATTATGGGAGAGGGTAATTGAATATAGGTTAAAACATATTACAAAGATTTCTCATAATCCATTTGGATTTATGTCCGGCAGGTCTACTATGGAAGCTATACATTTACTGAGAAGTTCGATGAGTAAGTTTAGAGAGAATAAGTAGGATCTATATTTGATTTTTATAGATTTAAAAAAAGCTTACGATAAAGTTCCAAGAGATATCTTTTGGAGAGTTCTAGAGAAGAAAGATGTTGATATACTTATTTAAGTCATTAAATATATGTATACTAGAGTTGTTACTTGTGTTCGAACAGAAGAAAGATTGACCAAATGTTTTCCAATTTCAATTGGATTACATCAGGGAATGGCTTTAAGCCCATATCATTTTGCTTTAGTTATGGATGCTCTTATTGGATATTTAAAGGAGGATGTACCTTGGTGTATGCTTTTTCGTCGATGATATCCTTCTCGTGGATAAGACTAGAGAAAAAGCTCAGGAAAAACTTGAATTATGGAGGTCTACATTGAAGTCTAGAGGTCTTCATTTGAGTATAATTAAAATTAAATACATAGAATGTAATAGTAGTAGTAGCTCCAGTGACAGTTGTAACTATAGGTGATCAAATTATTAAAATGTGTAAACGCTTTAGATATCTCGGGTCTATTGTTCAAAGTGATTGTGATATAGATGGGGATATATACAGGGATGTTATCAATAGAATTCAAATTGGTTGGTTGAAGTGGAGAAATGATTCGAGTCTATTCTGTGATAGAAAAGTACCCTTAGACTGAAAGGAAAATTTTATAAGATTGTGGTGAGACTTGCAAATGCTCTATGGCATTGAATGTTGGCCTTTAAAAGAGAAGCATAAAACTAAGTTAAGTGTTGTCGAGATGAAAATGCTTAGGTGAATGAGAGATTTTACACTTAGAGACAAAATGCAAAATAAATATGTGTGATAGGTGTAGCTCCAGTAGCTGACAAAATTAGAGAGAATCGTCTTAGATGGTTTGGTCACATGAAACATTAACCATTTGATGATCCGATTAGGACATTAGATGTTTTACATTCAATATATGTTAAGAAAGGCAGATGTAGATCTAAAAAGACTTGGGCATATTGTACAAAAAATGATCTTAATTTATTATAATTAAATGAGAATGACACTCAATATAACGCAATGGAGAAAAAGGATTCATCTAGCCGACCCCACTTAGCGGGATAAAGTTTTGTTGTTATTGTTGTTATTGTTGTTATTGTTGTACTCTCATAAAACATTAAGGCAATCTTCTTAACTAGCATGTCCCACGTCATGTTTGGCTCAACTAGTGAACTTAATAAGCAAGTCTATACAATCTATCTTGAAAGAGTAGCAAATTCTCACAATTAAGTTCCACCAGCATATCCTAGGAAAAGCATGTCATTTGGATGTTTCATTTAAGCTTCACACACCTAATATATGCATCCATAATTACTACTCTATATTGCATTTTCAATTCTTTCCCTTTAACCCACCATTAAAACCTTTGCAAAAAAATTTCCTTTACTTCTAGATTAAAAAAAGGGTTTGCTTGTGGTTGTTTGTTACATTTATGAATGGATCAAGTGATTTTGTTGCACCTCAAAGTATTGTTTGGCTATTGAAAAATCATATGATATTATGAAATTACATAGTACTTACTTAGTATAGTATGAAGAAACTGGCATGATAATCTTACCCATGATTTGTATTTAATGGGAAAAAAAAAATATTAAATAAAAATAATAAAGCCATTTTAACATGATGGAGCCCCTAAATAACTTCCTAAATCAAGATCATTCAAGCAAGATCAATCAGAATATAATTTGGAACCAAAAAAAGTAAAGCGTATATCACCATAAGTCATTTATTTATAATTAATCATTTATAAGAGCTTAGTTACTACTCTTAGAGGTCCATAAAAAAAAATTTGGTAAATAAGGGGGCAAGAGAGATATTTGGTAAATAAGGGGCCTATGTATTATTTGGCAATGTAAGTATATAAACACCCCATTCATCAGAAATAAAGGGCAACAGTTACCCGCCGGTTTCTGATATATGATTTGTGTTTTCCTTCTGCTTTTCCCCTTATTTAGCTATAATCTACTGTTGATGTTCATTATCCTTTGCAGGTTGCTGTTAATCAACTAGGCCGAATTAGTTAACAGACCCCATTGGAGAAGAGGGCCGAGTAAACACGGGCTACTGCTTCCGCAAGTTGTTTTCACCTACACGCCTTGAACTTTATTACCCTTGAAAGAGATTCCAAAAACTCTTGAATCAAGAAGCTCTCATACATGAAATTCTCTGTCGTTTAATTCACAATCAGGTCAAGACTTTTTTTTTCTCTTTCTTTGCAGATAACTACATAGTTTGTTTTATATCAACATGGCAGGCTGGAACATTCCAGCCATTCTTGAAATATTATCTAGCAAGTATAACAAAAGTATGCAGCTAGCAAACACAGCTAACCCTAATGGCAAGAAACAACAATAAAAAAGACTCTGATTTAGAACTTGAGTTGCTTATACTGTTCCACTGCAGTTTGAATTTCTTTCACCCCCCATCATGGCAAGATCTCTTTAAGTGGTGACAATATTTTGTTATAAAGTTGTTCTGTTAGAATTTCTTAGCCTGGTGTTCAACTTTCTTCCCTTAGGCGTTATTCAGTTTGTGAAAATTCTTCTCATGTTGACAGCTTACTAGCTTATTGGGTTTTTCTTCGTGATAATTTATATTGAAAAGTATGAATCCAATCTTCCTTAGTTGGTTTCGATGCCAGTATTACAGGAACTCTCTGCCAAATTCAAGCTCGAGCAGAACCTTTCTATAAGCACGCACAAATGGGAGCATATCTCAATGCAGTCTACCTCAATTAAAAAAAAAAGATCAAAAACAAAACCTTTGGTGACAGCGCTGGGATCTTCGTAAAATCCAGCAATAATGGCCACATGTCCGGGCCTCGACTCAGTAGGCGGCCGCGCGTGTGATACCCCCCACCGACCCTTCTCCAGCATCACGCTACGCAGGAATGGTGCCCTAAACCTCCCATCAGATTCCGGCTCAAAGAACTTGTCAGCTCGCAGTCCATCCGCTGTATAATTAAAATGGAGTTTACAGAGTTCGCGGGTCAAATAAGGAATGGTAGAGATGAGATCCAGTAGAAATTCAGAAAATGGAACCAACCAATGAGTAGGACGAGCCGCTTGGCGGGCGCGGGGAAGCGCTGCGGCACCGGGTCCATGCCGTGGACGATGGGGGTCTTGAAATAAATGTCAAAGATGCTGAGCATGTAAATGGCGTGGAGGGCAATTCCTAGGGCTACAAGCCACCGCTCACGACGCCAAACCTGTCGCTTCCGCTGCTCGCCGCCGGAGAGAATTCCAGCGCCGGCCATCAGCGATCTATTGGGCGAAGATCGATTTGGTGTCGAGGAGGACGAAGAATTTCCCACAAATGATTTACCGAACCAAAATCATAATTTCAAAGTCGTGTTATTCTTCACTGGGTGAACTAACCCTAGTGGTCGATCGTTGGTCTAGTGAGTCTTCGGCTCAATCAGAGTTGGAGCAAGCGTAGAGTTGAAGTGGGTTTCAGTTATTGGGAGACTAAATGCGATGTTACCTTTGACAAAACGTAGAAGATTCTTGATGAGCCGAAATCGGTAATAAACAGGACTATGCATATGTTGACAAATATAGTCGACAGTAAAGACTATGTGTACTCTAATAATTGTAAGGAACTGAAGTGAATCGATAAGTTGTCAGTGTTGAATGATATTTGAAAACTCTTGAAGAGGGATTTTGTCGGGGATGAATTTCTGGGGGAGAGGGGTGTGGACTGGTTTGCATGTGAATAGGCCAAGTTGGT